AAGAGCTGAAACTCTAAGAAGAAACTGGCTTCATGAAGACCTGTTGGGACTTCAATGCATTAATAGTCTTGTCTCATTCCTCCCGGTCTCCTTCATGCTACAATTTTACAGTTTTTAAGAGACATTTAGAAGAAACCACAGTATTTCTTTATTGTGCAATATCTACATTTAATCAGCATTAATGATTTTCATGCCCAATTAGAATATAGCTACAGATTATCACCAAACTTAAACTAACCAGAGCTTGTGAATCAATAAACTGTTGTATCTCTTCCATTTTTCCCACCAGTTTTATCTCAAAACATAAGGAGCTGTTGCACATATGCTGAAATTATTTTTTAGTGCAAAATATCAAAGCTATTTCTAAACACCTTTTGTAGTAATATTAAGCTATGCTATAGGTCCTTGCCAAATTTCATTTTTTAACAGGAGTTGCTGTGTTTTTAAATTATCTTTTCAATATATAGCATACAGCTATCTTTAAAAATAAAACTAAATAGGCATAATCAAGTAGGCACCTAATCCTAAAGGCATACAGCATTACTGTACAACAATGAGTATGCTGAAGAGAGAGTTGTTTGACAAAACTATTACCAGTAAATACTTTGGTCTACTAAGCAGTTTCTATGTTTGCTGTTTCTCATGTGAATACTTCAACCCAAATTTTAATATAATATACTTAAAAATAGGGCAACCATTTTGTATGTAGTATAAATATAAATAAATTAGTCTCACCTCAAGATTCTTCTGTCATTGTTGCCTTAAGAATGGTCCCCAGTTCTAGTCTAAGCACTATTCACCACAGCTGACCCCAAGAAACTGCTTTGCTAATATCTGTTTACTCACAATGTCTGAACTGCTTTGCGTAGTTCAAACACCACTGATCCTCAATCAAATCAGGCCTCCTCTAGGTCAAAGTATGTATTTTCCACAACTGATTTCAGAGGAACAAGAAACCATCACCAAAACCTAAACCCAAATATCCTGTCTGATAAGACAGGACCCTAATACTAGATCAGAATTTTATACACACGTCAACAAGATTTATTGTAGATTACAAAGACTCTTCTCTCTATGCAAAACACATGTCCATCTTAGTGATTAATGACTTACTCAGGTGGGCAAGGCTCAGTGTTGCAGGCTCTTTGGTTTTCTGGAGGCTTACTGTCAGGGTCACAGTAATTGTTTTGTACAATGGAGTTGTCATCCAGCCTTTTACAGACCACCTCTTGTTTCTGCACACCTTAGGATGAAATGAAACACCAGTAATTAATCATTCTTGCTCTTCTATTTGTTGAGTAAAAGTGTATTTCACCTATTGATTATTAATCCTACCGTCCTACTTTAATTGGCTGAATGCTGCAGGGGTGTGAATTCCAACTGACTGAATGCCCCCTGACCACAATAAATCTTTCATTTTCCTTCAATTTTAGGCCACCCCACTGACAGAGGATTTTAAATTCCTGTTGTTTTCTAAAACAAAGGGAATATATTTATAGATCTACTAACAGATTGTTTTTATTTGTATATTGCATAAAATCCATTTTCTGTCTACCCTCCTCTCCTAGTAAAAGACACTTAAATTTCCAAGGAAAACATGACCAAATAGAATGTGGTCACACTTCAATGCAGAATTATTATATGCTCTGGTTTAAAATAAACCAGCAATACTGGGAAACAGTGTTGCATTTTTATACATGTCATCCTATAAATGTTTTCTTCATTAAAATAATAGAAGTATTATTCATTCTGAAAGATAGTTTGTGAATGCTCATTTTGTCTGGCACTCCCAGCTCCTCTTTCAGTGTTAACCATGAACAGGGCAGTTTCGAGGTGATTATTATTCCCAAAATATAATGACATATCACTATCAAGGCAACATTACAAGGTAGTGAATTAAGCAGATTTTCTGATTTTTAAAAAAACAGGATCTAAAGAAAGGCACTAAAGAAACACTGATATGACAACAATGCAGCTCTGAGTATTGCTGTACAGAGCAGTACACATGGCCTCCTGCTGTCTTTTTAGAACAAGCTGTATGATGTTTGCTAGCATAAAAAGACTGTGGATCTGCAATTCATATGCAGTTCTTATTGAACTAGAGTAGTCATAATACTGAAAGAACAGGATTATTTGTACGATAAAAATTGCAAAAAGCCCTGAACCTTCCTTAAAAACAGAAGCAATTATTGAACTTTTTCCAAAATGTGAAATGTATACAATTAAATAGGGATGAAAACATCCTGGCTTCAAATATCTGCCAACTTTACAGCCCTCTCTTCATTTTAAGACAAGCTTTTTATAGGAGGTAGACGTGCAGTAATAAAATTAATTATATAAATATGTTTTTCAGACACTAAGCATCCCACTAAAAACATTGGATTTCTTTCACCAAATATTTGTAGTCCTTTTGCTCTTTTTAAACAAGCTAAGCAACTTACCTTGCAATTGCTTCTTTTGTTATTCATTATGGATAAGAATCAAATCTCCTACTTTCGTTCCTAAAATGTGACCTATACAGAATTTAGGTATCTAATTCCAACAGTGAGGCAAGCCTAGCCTTGAGGTGCCTTAAGTTTGGCCCACAAAGCATCCTGCTTGGCTATGAACAGAAGTGTCCCAGTCTACAGAAAGAGGCATGTGAAATGTCTTCATGACGTTATGTGCAAACGACATGGGGAAAATGGTAAGCTCCTTTTTTATGAGTCTTGAGGATGGCATGCACTTGCCCATGAGGCTGCAGATGCAGGAGTAGGCATGATCCGTTCTCACCCTGATGGGATTTCTAATTCCCATGAGCACAGCACGTGTGAGCACACCGAACTTAGTGACTTAGTAATTAATTTAGCTAAGATGGCAAGACTGTGATTTCTAGTCAGTAGCTTATTTCTAGTTTTTATTCAATTACAGTCTGATATAAAATGTCTAAACCATCTTGAGAGCAAGGATGAAAATCCATACCTGCCTCTGCTAGATGAATGTCTTGTTTTCTGGTTATGCATTAAATCCCTTTCTTGTCTTCCTGCCATGGGCCCCATGAATCTTGCATCCCTAGCTGCACTGTGGCCCAGAACGCTTATTAGAAAAATCTCCCCTTTCTCCACCCTCTTAGACTCCTCAGCTTTCTATGGCACACAGTTAAGAGTACTCTTCTGGAGACGTATTCCCAGCTGAAATCTCGTCACACTGCAATAGGGAATTGCTATTTAATAGATGACTGTCATGGCATCCTGCAAAATATGGGTTTTATCTCTCATGTGAAAATACAGCATTGTTAATTCAAGCACTCTCAGGAAAACCCAGCAGTCTGGATCCTAAGCACATAAAAATGTTCCATGTGCCCTCAACTCCAGTTTTCACGTTCCTGACAAGCAGAAGAGTTAGATTCATCACTCAACAAACCACTTCTTACAGGATGCCTGTTTAGCAGGTGAGAACTTTGTATCAACCCTCAAAATCACTCACCTCCTCACCTGACCTCAAAATCATTAACCATGTTGAGACAAGAGATGCCTAATGCAGAAGTCTTCACTCTACTGCAATACCTAAATCCAGAGTCCAGAGCTTTGCTGCTGGGATATCTCCTTTTTGATTACAGCTACCTTCACAAAGTAGGCACTTTAAATCAGGCTGTAAATCATTTCACACGTCTGACATCTCAGGTTATCCATAAACATCACAATCATTTTAAAATAAGCTTTATTTATGAAACAGATACTGATTAATGAGACATACATCTTACAGGTGAGCCAGGTAAACCAGTCAGCTTCTTCCATTTGCTTTTCTTTCTACATGTATCTGGATGCCACATTAGACAACAGTAGGTACCACTAAACAGTGCAGAAGGCTGCCAGACTGTTTTCCAAGTGTATCCTACATGCGCAAATCGACATGAACAAGCTAAAAAGAAAATACCATTTTTGAACGGTATTCAACCTCAATTTTTTGGCTAATTTTCAATTTATGTGCTTTACATGTTGGAAAAAAATCGTTTTGCTAGACAGTTAGGTCCAGATGAAACTAAGAAACTTAGCATGGGGGACCCTCAAGGGCCTGAAGTACATGCCTCCACAGCTGTTGGTTGATTGAGTTAGCATACAGATATTCTCTTTCAGATATTCATCCATCAGGTATCAAAGATTTTAGACGTTCACATAAAGATGTTCCATTTGTAGCATTCTCAGCACCTAGTATTTCAACTACATGAAATGATATAAAGCTGAAATTCAGTGAGATCTTGCACTATAAGGGCAACTAAATAACCTTGGAACACAGGAACTTAGAACATACAACTAGAAGCAATGCCCTTCTATTGCTGGGAACCACCCTCTGTAACCCCTTTCATAAACTGATCAAGCTCCACTCTAAGCCCAAGTACATTTTTCTGAACATCACACCTATGACTACTATAAGCATTCCAATTTCCCCTCTAGATGCATTAATTGCCAATTTAAATTCTTTAAAGTCAAAACAGTCTTTTAGTTTAAGTGACTTTATTGTTTTAACCCAGTCAACTCTTGCAGTCTCTGTGTTGTTAGATACATCATTCCTTTGGTCAGCCTCACAACCCTTCTATGCACCTGCTCACACCTGAGTTTATTACAGCCACAATACAAACTGTGCCCAGTACTCCAGAAGGATTTTACTAGTGTCTTATCCAGTGCCATTAATATTTTAAATAAATACATCCTAAAGTAAGATCTACCTTTATCATGACTACAACATACCCCAGTCTTCCCCATACATCTCCTAGCACTGCACTGTTAGCAAATTTCATCAGAGCTTTCTACTTTTTATGTTGCCATCAGAACAAAAAATCCTGATGTGTCATGAGTCCTGTGAAAGGTCTTTAAGAAGCCTGCTAGGCTCACTGCCTTTTGGCCCAGTAATTTACACTGTAAGCATGCCTCTTGTCTACTGATCTTTTCTGAATCTTTTTTAGGTGTAGGTGACAAAAAAAGCCTTAAGAAAGTCTAGCTCAATGAACCTACTATATTTCCTTGGTTTAGAAAATCAGTTATATATTGAAGTATACCTGGCTAGTCAAGCATGACCTATAACATTACATTTTGCCCCATCTGTCACTTATTTCTATATCTTTATACTTTTCTTCAAAATTTCAAATCAGTTAGTAGTACAATGTTGGGGTTTTTTTTTATATATATACACACATATGTGTACACACACGAGTGAGAGATTATTTCCTTCAGTTCTCTATTCCTTTAGTACTATTTTAGTAGATAAGACATATCAAATTGCAGAATGAAAGAGAGAGAAAAATGTTCACCAGATTAGGCTCTCCTTTATAATATCTTCCTTTGGTTCTTGACAAATAAAATGATTCACTTTAAATTCTACAATCTATGTGAACGCTGACAACAGATGAGAATAATTAAAATCAGATCTGACAATCTGAGTAGGAATATTTTTTTTGCAATTTTCTACTCAAACTTCACTGTGATGAGAAATAGTATTTAAAAGGTCTAGCCAAACAACAATGCTAGTAACATGCTGCTGCTAGTTGACACAGAATTTATGTTCAGCTCCAACTGATGAATAATCATTTACCCTTTCTATCACAAGCTGCCTTAATTCTCTTGGTGGCTGATAAAATAGGCTGAACATTGCCTTCATAATATTTCCCTCAAATATAATTGCTTAAAAATAATATTTATACACACTTCAGAATTAAGCATTTTAATTATGCATGCCATTCTCATAAATATATTCATAGGATAGCATAGATATTGATGTTATGTTTTCAATGAATTTCCTACTGGCATCATCACATTTCCTTCCAGGCTTTGGCTAAAAATTGGCAGCCTCAGTAAATTCATTTCTGAGGAGCTATGTAATAAAGTATTCTGAAGTACTATGAACACAAAGTATTCTTGTGCTCTGTTTTCAAAAAAATTTAAAGTCAGACGTGGTATTTATTGAACATTGGTCAGGTAGCATTTCACCTGTAAGACAGTATTCACCACTATTCACTCACACAGTGAAGAATCTTTAATCCATGCGAGGAGATATATTAATCCAGTTTTAAAATGTTCTGCAGCATCTTGCTGCACAGTATGTAAACTTTACATCACTGCTATCTAATTAATGTTACTTAAAATAAAATCTCAGAAACAAAATTCAGATTCTAACTTTAAGACAAGAAAAAGAAATGGAAAAAGCTAGAAGTGCAGTTGCTACCCAGACAACAGCTACAACTTGGTTAAGCCCTGTGGGCCTTCAAAA